TTCCACAGTCCTAAAGGTTTCCTCCAGCATGGAATTGATGAAGTCCTCATGGCAGAGGATTCTTCGGAGCTTTGCTACCTCCTCCTGTAGCTCTCTTGCCTATTCCCTAAGGGACACCACCAGAAGGCACCGCTCACATCACAGGCACTCCCCCACCTGGCTGATACTGGAAGGAACCTGCAAGCCGCAGTCTGAACAGCACCAAACCAGGACCTAGGTGGACGCCTCAACAGTCTGTAGTCCTGCCTGGACAGACACTGCACAGATGGAAGTAAAGGAAGTGCTGGAAGTGGCAGTAGCTCTGAGATTGTGGTGTCCTCCAGCCATCTCTCTGGGTCGTCTAACCTGCTGTCTCTCACTTCCTGCCTTTCTTTTCCAGCAGACCTTCCCTAGCGAACTCCTGTATACCTGGTCTGTTTGCTGTTCCTGGATCCTGAAAGGTTCCCTTTTCTCTACAAACCTCTTTCGTCTCAGCAAGCTTACAATGAAGGAACGTGAGAGAGTTTCCAAGCAAACTCCCTAGCAAACTCCCCCCTGCTCTGGACTCTAGTGAAACACAGGGTTTAAGTCTTGGCTTAGCTGTTGAGTTGTAGCTGCTTAAAATAAAACTATGTCAGTTAGTCTTAATTATATATAAAAAAAAAGAATCTTATCTTACAGCCTCCCCTTTAAAGAGAGGGGTGACAAACTGACCTGCAAACTGCTTGTAAACTGTCCTGTTTGCTTCTCCCTGTTTCCTGCTCCTCTGGTTGCTTGGACTGTCTCCTTAGCTGAGTTCCCTTACCTCTATTCTGGCATCCCAGGAAGAAAACTCTAGCAGGTATGCCTCTGGTGGGCAGGGATCAGAGCAGCACTCTGGGAAGGGCCAGGGCTTAACTTGTGGCATGTATGTCAAAAAGGTTGGCCACCGTTCTTAAATGCATCACTGCTTAAACATTCTTTCCTAGCAAAATTGCTGGCTTATTTGAATATTTCTTTCTTTCTTTATTTTGTAGAGACCTCAGAACACTAGTTAGTGTGATTAGATACCAAAGTAGAAACTAGAAGCATGAACAGTCAGTTGGTGGTGTTCTGAATTGCAACAAATTGTATCACAGCTGCAATTTAAAGAGCAGGCCCCATAGACAAACTCTGGTGGGAAACACAGAAGGGGTGGCTTTTGGGCACTAATCCTGTGAGTGTGTTTGACTATGCAAATGAGATACATGCTATACTCATCAGTGATGGGTCCTGGGGGAGGATGGCCTAAGCATAAGCCTCCTATCCAAGTCTGCTGACCATGCCCCAGATGTCCTTCAGATAAACAGATTCATCCCTGAAGCTCCTCCAGACTCATTCCCAGTGTCTGCTCTCAGAACTTTAGGACACTGCACGCTTAAAAACAGACATTAGACAAGTCTGAAGCAGCCTTTTGGATCATGTTCCAGCTCTGTAACATGTCAGTGTACTGGTATAGATGGTGCATGTTCAAGCTTGTGCTTCCTGGAATGCACTGACATGGTGTAGACCAGTTAGTTTTTACTGAGTCACAGCGGTCCATCATTGCGATGGTTGAGCTTGGACAAAGGCATTCAGTGCTCATTGCTCCTTAACTTATTGCTGTAATCTTTTAGTGATGAAAACTTATATTTAATGTTTTAAGGCCAGGACTGCAGTCACCCCTATCTGCCACCATGGGCATTTTCCATGCTGCCAAAGGGACTGCTTTTGGAGCAAGGCACTGGTGTGAGCATATGCAATTTACTTCCAAAATACCAACTTGGCATTTTGTGTGTTTGGACTGTGTATGTATGTGATATGTTTTGTAGCAAGTTAACCATTTCATGTTATTTTGACAAGAAGGTGGAATTGCTTAAGGAGCTGAGCTTTATAATGTAATATGGAATCTCTGATCAGTCTCATCAGTCTCAATACAGCCCAATACAGCTCAATACAGATGATCAAAAGACATGAACAATCACTAGCTTTTTAGTGGCAAATCTGAAATAACTTAGTAATCTCAGATCATTTCCTGGCTATACTTTAAAGACGCCTTACTAAGAATGCAGGAACAAACCATCCCAATGCTCAGGAAGGGTAGCAGGTATAGCGGAAGACCAGCTTGGCTTAGCAGGGAACTCTTCAGTAAACTATGTCACAAAAAGGAAGCTTGTAAGAAGTCGAAATATGGACATATAAATAGGAAGGAGTATAAGAGCATTGCTTGAGCATGCAGGGATGAAGTCAGGAAGGCCAAAGCGCAACTGGAGTTGCAGCTAGCAAGCAGCATGAAGGGTAACAAAAAGGGTGTCTATAAGTATGTCAGTAGCAGGAGGAGGGTCAGGGAAAGTGTGGGTCCCTTACTGAACGGGGTAGGCAACCTTGTATCAGAGAATGCAGAAAAGGCTGAAGTACTCAATGCCTTCTTCTCCTCAGTCTTCACAGACTGATTACTACACCAGGCAGCGCAGTTCGGGGAGGAGGTGAGCAGATAACAGTGGTGAAAGAACAGGTTAGGGACTATTTAGAAAAGCTGGACATATACACGTCCATAGGGCTGGACAGGATGCCCCCAAGGGTGCTCAGGGTGTTGGCTAATGAGATCCAGAGCCACTGGCCATCATCTTTGAAAACTCATGGTGATCAGGAGAGGTCCCAGATGATTGGAAAAGGGCAAATATAGTATCCATATTTAAGAAAGGGAAAGGGGCATTCCTGACCAACCTGATTGCCTTCTATGATGAGGTAACTGGCTCTGTGGATGCGGGGAGACCAGTGGACGCTTTGATTTTAGCAAAGCTTTTGATATGGTCTCCCACAACATTCTCGCAAACAAGATAAGGAAGTACAGGCTCGATGAATGGATTGTAAGGTAGATAGAAAACTGGCTGGAGCATTGGGCTCAAAGGGTAGTAATCAACGGCTCAATGTCTAGTTGGCAGCTGGTATCAGGTGGAGTGCCCCAAGGGTCAGTCCTGGGGCTGGTTTTGTTCTATGTCTTCATCAGTGACCTGGAAGATGGCATAGAGTGCACCCGCAGCAAGTCTGAAGATGACACCAAGCTGGGGGGAGTCATAGATATTTTGGAGGGTAGGGCTAGGATTCAGAGTGACTTAGACAAATTGGCGGATTAGGCCAAAAGACATCTCAGGAGGTTCAACAAGGACAGATACAAAGCCCTGCACTTAGGACAGAGAAATCCCATGCATGCTGGGGGCTGATTGGCTGGGCAGCAGCTCTGCAGAAAAGGACCTGGGGGTTAAAATAGATGCAATTTAGCTGGCTATAAGCCAACAGTGCACCCTTGTTCCTAACAGCATACTGGGCTGCATTGGTAGGAGTGTTATCAGTAGGTCAAGTGACATGATTATTCCCTTCTATTCAGCACTGGTGAGGCCACACTGGAGTACTGTGTTCAGTTTTGCCCCCCACCCCCCACTACAGAAAGCATGTGGACCAGTTGGAGAGGGTCCAGTGGAGGGCAACAAAAATGGTGAGGGGGCTGGGGCACATGACTTATGAGGAGAGGCTGAGGGAACTGGGCTTATTTAGTCTAGAGAAGAGGGGACGGAGAGGGGATTTAATAGTAGCCTTCAAGTAACTGAAGGGGACTTGACAAGAGGATGGAGCGAGAGTATCCTCAGTGGTGGCAGATGACAGAACAAGAAGCAATGGTCTCAAGTTTCAGCAAGGGAAGTTTAGGTTAGATATTAGGAAGAATTTTCTTACTAGGAAGGTAGTAAAACACCGGAACAGGTTACCCAGAGAGGTGGTGGAATCTCCATCCTTGGAGGTTTTTAAGACCCAGCTAGACAATGCTTTGGCTTGGATGATCTAGTTGGAGATGGTCCTGCCTTGAGCATGGGGTTGGACTAAATGACCTCCTGAGGTCCCTTCCAACTCTAATTTTCTATGATTCTATGAGAAGAGGTCGTTAGGGCACAAACTTCATTGGCATGTACAGTAAAAGGGCCAAAGATTAACTGGATATGGAGACTGGGCTATTCTTAGTCCAGGAGGTCCCTCCAATTAAAGGTTGAAGCACACTGCTGGCAGTTTACTCACCCACTACCCATACCCTATCTTTTCTGCTAGTAAAATAGAAGTTTAGAGTCCAGTATTCTGTGTTTAGTCCATTATATGCACCCTAAAATGCATTTAGAAATAAATCCTGGGATTGTTTATAAATCAAAATGGTGCTTATTACATGTTGAAGTTAGTTTGCTTTCCATTATTTTTAATGCTGACCTAATACACTAGTGGTAGGTATGATGCAAGAACATAAATGGAATGGAACAGGATGTAAATAATATTAGTGTGTTTCAATCCATCCTTAATGTTATTATCCTAGAAACAGATAAGTGCTCCTTTTTCTTTCCTTCATAATGGGGGCATCTACACATGCATTAAGGCACTTTTCCTAATGCACATTAAATGTAGTACCTCCATTATGAAGTACTAAATAAATGCACATTAGGCTGTGCTGATGCACAGTAGAGCAAGCACACACTTTTTAGGTGACATTTAATGTTCAATAGCCTATTCTACTGTGCATTACTGCATGTGCACAATTTTTACAAGCCACTTTAAAGCACAGTAGAATAGGCTACTGCACATTTAAATGCACATGTAGATGTGTCCAGTATGTATCATATTCTAGTCCTACATTGATCTGAAAATTCACAGGCAAATATTTAACATTAATTGCTATACATTCAAATTAGACTTCTTAGGAATTGTTTAGTAGTCATATCTTCCAGTTCGTGAGTTTACCCTTAATTTACTGACATTCATATTATCTTTCCTCTGCAGCTCAAAAGCTAGTTCAGGTCTGTGTGAAACAGAGTCAAATGGAAGAATCAGTTACCATGAAGGTCCAGCTTTCACTAATGTGTTGCAAAGTGCTGAAAACCAGACCAAAGGTTGGTTATTTCATAATTCTCCCTTACCTACAGTTTATACGAAAATCTTTTTGCCTTTTCCCTACCCACTGTTTCACCTGTAATGCCAATTTCCCATCAGCTTCTATTGTGTTATATATTAGTCAAGAACAAGTAGCTTGGTTACAGCATGGTGCTAATGGGCTCCTATAGATGTGCAAGGAGGCTGCTCTGACCCACTGTAATTCATCTGCTGGAGTGTGGTAATCCATTCTCCAGCAGACTCCAGCGTCATGTGTATCAGCATCCCTGTGCTTAAAAATGGTGGCAGGGCCTTTTAAACTAAAGCTCAGTTGACAAGTTTTAGTTCAAAGCGCCCCACCGCTATTTTTCAGCACAGGGACACTGGTACATATGATGTTCTGGGTACTTTTAATTAGCATGGCTCTCAGAGCTGTGCTAATTAAAGTGCCCCCTACCTCCCAGACCACGTCTATAAATGCCCAATAACACCAAGTTTGCACCATTCAATCCCTGGTTGAACTAGATGATCTCTTGAGGTCCCTTCCAGCCTTACATCTCTATGAAATGTTTCTGCAGTGTAAAACTGCCCTTTTTCCTCAAGAGGTAGTAATATCCCAGCAGTCTTCTCAGACCCTTAATATATATGTTGCCTGTTGTAGAACCCAGGGTGATATTCCATTCCCTTCCTGAGTGCCAAAAATGCCATTTACACCTCAGGTAGGAATACTATTCATGACTGTGGTGGGTGCAGAGATCCCACCTCAGGAACACAGCTGGGTATTCGTATCCCTCTGCTGTTTCCACCACGTGAGGCGGGCCAGTAGGGGGCGCTCCTGCGTTGAGCCACCCACCTCCCTGCGCCCCACCACCTTCCAGGCTCTGAATGCCTCCCTAGGGGCGCCTTATGTCTAGCCGACCCCTCTCCCGGAGCACACTCGCTAGTCTGGGGGTAACGTGCCGCCACCACCCCAAGAACGGACTGTCTCGCGGCCCTGTGTCCTTGGGGTAACACAGGCCTAAAGTCCCACAGGTACTCAACCCAGTACAGGCACTTGGGGTACTTCCCCAAGTCCGGGGGTAAAAAGGTATAGTCTCCCTTAGTCCACAGACCTAAGGGGTCTCTTAGGCATAATTTAGACCCACCCCTCAATAAGTCTCCCACACCAGTCA